ATATTATTTATCTACACATATAAAAGCACGTCATCAATTGCGCATGAGAATTTCTTGGCATGACATAAGTACGTCATTGGCATATACTCATATGAATTGTATTCATTATCAAACCATCAGCAGTCTTTTTTCCTCATCTCTTATCTTTTTCAAGCGCCTATCCAGATATGATTTTATTTTGTTTTGTGTTGTATACTTTATTCAGAATCCATTCCACCATTTTCAGATTATTTATCTTTTTCTTCTTTTATATAATACAGCAAAGCTTGTTTTTTTTTAACAAAAAATGTTCATGTTTATTAAATCTATGTTATTAAAACATAAAAGACATTGATCAGTGTTTTTTTATTCATTTTTCTGTTAAATAAAATAAAACTCATGCATTTATCATTTATGATAAGTGATGTTCGTTGTAGACAGCTCATTTTTCTGAAAAAACATCTCTACTAGATGAATAGTTTTCTGAATAAGATAGTAGTTTCATTCATACTCATGCTTGGTTTTATAGATCTTAAATAATTAAAGAGTAAGAAAATGAAGTTTTCTGCCAAGATAAAACTTTTTTACCCACAGAGAAAAAGCGGATCCTATGGATTCCGATAGATCATAAAGAATCTCAAGAATCCATTTGGACACTATGGAAGTCAGTGAGCCTGAGGATGTAGGAGCAGTCATCCTATACCGAAGTGTTGAATACTACGAAATCAACTGCGGTCCGGGATCAATTTTGTATAATTCCGGGAACACGGTCGTCATACAACATAAGAGGCGGGGTGAACGACTTTTCGTATCACCCTTTACGAATTGTGGGTGTGGGTGGGTGTAGATGTAGGGATGGGTGTGTGCGTGAGTGTATTTTTTTTATCGCACCCACACCGACCCTCAAGATGGTTTGAGTTCACGGTTGCTATAACTAATAGTACGTTTAAATTTAACAGATTTTTTTTTATTGAACTTTGAAAACTTATTGAATTTTCTTTAAAATGCGTTAAATATTGCATTTGTTAAGTAATTGAAGATTTTAATATCACTTTTTATTAGATAAATATAATATTATTATTTGTTTATGTTACACGTTGTCGTAAATATTATTGTCCTTTCGATTTATACAGATAGATAATAACATTGTATTCTTTTTAACGAGATATTTGTTAAATGTATGTATAGAAAAAAACGTTAACGGTTTGTTTTCAGAAAATAATAAAAAACTGAATATTTGTGCACAATAATTTTTAATATAGAAAATAGCTAGAATATATTTTACTTGTTTAAGCTGTACATCTGAGTTTATCATAACAATGAAAGAGATTTTTTTTCACGACTTACATTATGATATATTAAAAAAATATTATCAAATCATTAACTTCATGTCGTTTAACGTGAAATATGGCAAAAACTTGCATTACAAGAAATGAATATTTCTTTAATATTTATATAAAGGCTCACTATGATGAATGTAGTATAAAAAAATTAATTATCTCTTTT